GAGAAGGAAACCAATTTCAACACCTCTAACCCAGTCATCTCCATACTTATCAACGTACATATTTGCCAAGCTTTGTTTCCACTACCAAATAACTGCATGATTTATGTGAAACAAAAATCATTGATATAACAAACTGAAAGGATCACAGTAAGGATCTTTTTGGGCTGCACTGGTGTGACTGGCTAGACCAAACTGTATAGCCACAGGCTGGATGACAACTGACACACTCCCTTACAGTAGTACTTTGCAGATACTAAAATGTGTGTTCGCACATCAGCCACGAGTTCTCGGCCACTCAATATCGCTACAGTGTAATACTTCATGTTTCCATATTATTTATGTATAAATTTAATTACTATAAAGCGCTTAAATCTATTCGAGTTTAGATATCAAATATTTAAGTACCAACATTTATTTTTAAGCAGAATAAAATTGTACCTTTTGTCATTAAAATTATAGCTACATGCCCCAGGAACTCCACACCAGATACAAACTGGGGTCCTAAGTGTAAGCTGAGCAAATGAAAATGTGGTGTGGAATAGAAAACTGTTATGTAGACACACCTCCAGAAGTCCTCAATCTAGTAAATGCTGTCCCATATTCTGTATTTCTTCAAAGCCAGTAACATATATTTTATCAGGTAAATGATTTGACCAAACAGTTTTACACTTAAGCATGAAACAGTCTCCATATGGACACAGCCTATTTAGCACTTTTCATGCCACAATGGGTTTCAGGGGGCACAACCTCACACTTCACTCAGACAGATACTACATCACATGCTGGGCAATGTGCCTGATCCTTATTCGGGGGGTAAATAATTCAGATACCAAATGAATAATGGCTGAGATGGCTAAGGATATTGTGCTTTTCATCAGCTACTCTTGGAAAATGCTGGGATAGTACTTAGAGAAGCTGGTGTCAAGAATTCCCCATAAGAACCATCTCAATTCGTTGCATGAATTCATTATACCATATCATACGTGGCAGTATATAAACCCTGCAGCTGTTACAGCATCATAAAAACAAATGAATAAGAACCATAAGCATTCCCGCTCTTTTGGCAAAATGACAACAGGACTCGAACAAAACTAACCGAGCTATGGAGCAAACTGGAGGAATTTCTTTGCCAGGTCTGAATGTGGTATGTGTTGGGGCAAACACAGAGAACAGAGGAACAAAATAGTGAAACAACAGATAATTTCCATCATTTCTGCAGCATTGGGGAAAGTAAAAAATATGACACCTGGTGAGGAAAAACAAGGAAACATAAGGTAAAGTTGTACCTGTGCTTAATTAAATACTGTGCATGAAGGCATGTGGGGCACTACTTGGAGGCACAGTGTCTCTTTGCCTCTCAGCAATTTTACCCCCCCCCCAATAAAAGTGCAGTTTGGATTCAAAATTTGTTGACAGAATTAGAAAAGAAATGATTACAACTGTTTGGACATAGAAAAAGATAGACATAACAAGGATACTGAGCAGTGCATTAGAATTAAAATGTAAAGGTATGAGACATATGGGATGACCCAGAACAAAGCAGTTCAGCCAAATGGAAGACAAGAAGAAAAGAAATACATGGCACGAATTCAAAAAGCAAAAATGGTGGAAAGAGAGAAGAGATTGGCGACTGGCAACTTCATTCATCAACCTACAATATGGAAATTATATTAGAAGAAGAAGGGCATAAGTATAGGGGAACTGTGATGTGGCAACGGCAATAAACAACCAATGACACGCAGTGGGCCGGTAAACTAGTTGCCTCACACTGTTCAGCACAAGTGATGGTCTATAAATCTAACTATTACTATCACATGTAACTAATTAACTACACAGAGCAGAGCCCTTTTTGTCTATCATATCTAAACAGGTTTAATTACAGTATAAAAATTAATGTCTTTATGTGGTATTAAAATCCTAAAGATGCCATAGACACCCGTACTACAGCATTATCAGTTACACATGAACACATATGAAGTAATTAAAGCCATCAGAAATGCTCCGCATCGACAGGACGGTATATAACAGAAAGTAGCCAACTTATCTAATGAGATCTCTGTGTGAAACAGCACTGACATTCAACACAAACAATTCATTCACTAAAAGGGAACTAAAGCTGCTAGCAGTAACACAGTAATTCTTCCAGGGCTCTGTAATAAAATACAATCTGGCCTACTCAGACTGTGGGTGCCACACTGACATTGTGCACACAGTTTTTATGATCACACCAGTTACATTACTACAAGCACCATGACCTATCAGAGATGACATGGAAAAATAATCTCATATTATCCTTTCCTTTATCCATCTTAACCTGCCTTCCTAAAGTACGCTTATGCTGTCTGTCTGTGAATCCTCCCTATTAACTTCTGAATGGCTGAACCAATTTTTATGAAACTTGGTATGTATATCATGGCACCTGAGCCCATCTCAGTGGTGTACTTCATAAATCCCACCCATCAACCTGTGTATCCCCCTATCGTGTTTCAGTAATGGCTCGGTAAGAATCCCCCTATCATTGCCAGGAAAATTGGTGGCCAAAACCGTCACCATAGCAACACATACACATCCAACAACAGAAGAATCATTGGATGTGTCGTTTTCTATGTGGTCCATGTCGAATCAAGGATACCAGGTGATTAGTTCTTCCCAGAACTTCTTGTTGTACCTGTATCTCCATTCTCCCCTAGTGCTTTCCCATTCTATTTATTTGTCCATCTACTGTAATTTCTCTTCTCTCTCATCTTCCTTCTGCTTCACACTAAAACATCCCCCTCCTCCAAGTTCTTCTGTGCTTCTGTCACTTTTATACTACTACCTAATTCCCTCCTTTCCACAGGATTCTTCTCTCATCTCTTTCACGTGTACATCATATTGTCACTTACCTCTCTATGTCCTGGCGAATGTGGACAAAAGTTTACAGTTTGCTCATTTCTTAGCAACAGCATGCTGAGTTTCCGCCAAGCGCAAGTATTTGTACACAGAGATTTCAATTGCCCTTTTCGTGAGAAACGTGAGCCATATATATTCTGTTTGTCATTCTCGCTCCTACATTTGTGAGACATTTGTGCAGGCTTGCCTGTGTGCTGCTCCAACCTCAAGTAACACAATCAACGTAACTGATCTCCTGAAAGCACGGTTTGGCCAAATCATTTCAAAGAAATGTAGGATACAACTCACATGAGATTCACAAACACACAAGACACGGGAAATACCACGGCATTGTATCTGACAAGTAAAACTGATAATAGCATTGCGGTAACAAGTAGCAACACTGAACTGCAGGAGTTTTAACTGGCCAGGCACTTGAGGTCTTGATATACAGTTTAAAAACCTGAAGATAGCTCGGCCACAGATTGGGGCATCACGCTGTAGAAACATGCATCAGATCTCAACGTTTTCAATCCCATTTTGATTATACACTCAAAATGGTTCACATGGGCACAGTGTAAGATGTGTTGATGAACATGAATTACATTTTTGCACTTTTAAATCTTGACATGATGCTAACGAAGAGATGATGGAGGATTACGATTTCTACATCTGGAAGGGAGCAGTTGTGGCGATTAACTAGAACAGCCCACGGCTGATATCTGCCATGCACTCGGGTTACTTGCACAATTCGAGGACACCTTCTGATATGATTTCTGTCTGACTGAGGCATATGAAGACTGTCGGTCCAACAGTCCTGACAACCACTACAGATGCAACCTTACACCAGAACTTCAAGAACATTATGTCATATACAGATTATATCATACACAGGACAGACAACTTTACAGAAGAAAATCTGCAGGTGCTTAATTCAGTCAACAGTATGACTACAGTTATATGGTAAAACTGGTATGAAACAATATTACCAATCCACATAAAAATAATATATTTACTATACCTGTAATATCATTATGTTGCCTTACAAAAAATAACTCTTGTAAGCAAACCTGTTAACAGTCACTGATCAGGGAACAAAACTTATATATTTCAGATTTTCATGGCAGTGAATATGAGTACAATGTAATAAAGTTCCCTCATGTTTCTGACTAACCCACTGCCGCCACACTGGAGTTAACAAGTAATGCAAGCCCCAAGCAAAACTCTCCTGCTGCTTGTTTATTTGACTTAAACTTTCACCCCAAAGATAGAGGCAGTATGTTCCTCTGAAATGTCAGCAAGCTTTTACCAGATTATACAGCGTCACACCCTGTAGGACAGTCGTCTTCTGGTATCTCAGTTCAGCACATCCACTGACATGAACTTGCAAAAAGTTCTGATATTCTGAAGTCGTCCCTTCCAGGATACAACACTACATAGTGCAGTAAACAGGTACAACGTTCTGGAGGCCCCTGTTACCGCCAACTTAGAACCCTCTTCTACCATGAAGATAGAAGGGACAGATTCCTCCAAGGCAATGGTAACTATTTACAACACTGTACACCATCTCACTGCCATGGGAAGCCCAAATCCTATGTTATCCTACTGCAAATTTATTAAGAAGGTCAGAGCTGATAGAGAAACACAGCACATGACTCATGTTAACTTAAATTCGTTGTCTGGAGAACCTACTGACTTTCTGATGATGAAATGCTGTGTTCCAACACCAGCTTATGATGACACGTTCTGGAAGTTCTGATTGAAGAGATCACATCTATAATATAATGGTATGGGCACAGGATTATTCTGACAGCTTAAAGAAGGTTATGGCAAATAAGTGATCATTGGTTATGAAAAACAGACTGTGTGAGGGACATACATCAAACAGAGCATGGTGATTTTTTACTTTAAGATGCTGTCAGCATGTCCGTCCATATAGTTCTGAATGTTAGGATGGTTGGTGAACAACGAATTGGAAAGGATCTGGAAGGATGCAGTCATGGCCTAATCAAGGCACTATCCTGTCATCTGCCTGGAGGAAAACCATGAAACGCCCCAATCAGAATAATCAGTTACCTGGCAGAGAGACAAAGTGAGCAGCTGCCAACTGCTTGTCCATGTTATATGGCCTTCGTACTGACATCATCATTAAGCAACTATAAAAACCAAACCTCTGAATACGAGAGTGGGGAAACAGCAACTAGACACAAGGGTGCTTACATGAGGAGGACAGAAGAGAATCCTGTGATGACACAACCCAACAGAAATGTTAACAGATGATAATGATGATGATGACAATCAAGTTGTGCATTTATGGAGAAGTGGCACATTTCAGTACCCAGTGCATATTCTGAACATTTAAGACAGCAGCTTGGCCAGTTTCTGACGAAGAAATTCCTTCACTGGTTCATAGTAGTCACGTCGTAGCACCACCATCTCAGGCCACCGGCGCACGGTGCCAAGAACCTCACAGTCTGACTCCAGCACTAGCACTGTGGCAAGTGCCAGAGACAGCACCACACACAGGAATGATGGCACAAACACCTGCAGGAGGTTGAACCGACGTGGAGTCGTGGTGGTGGTGGTGGTGGTGGTGGTAGTGGTGGTCGTTGGTGCCTCTGCTGAAGGTGCCGGCAGTGGTGCAGGCTTTATGCTGGGGCTTGGTCTGGGAACTGGCTGTGTGCTCATCTTTGGCCCCAGGCCACCAGAAACCTCCACCAGCTGCGATTCAGATGATGAGTGCTCGAACGAGTCCCGGAAGTAGTAGTCATCAAAGGCATGGGTGTGGCCACCATCTGCTTCTTTGCCACCTAGAACATGCAGTATCCAACATTTACATATTCAAAAACCCAATAATCATGAGTGTCATCCACCACTGTCTGCTGAGCAGGCCAAAGCGTTCAAGAAATGAAGCTGTCGAGCATTATGAAGAAGAAGAAGATTCACCACTGTCAGAATCCTCCAGAATCTATCTGGAGATACTGGTTAGGAAGCCAACATGATAAAGCTGAAATATTAAACAAAGAATACAATCTGGACAAACTCCTCTACGTACTTCTTAACTAACTCCACAACCGATCAGATAGTCAAAACATACCCTGACACTTTTTGGAAGATTGGAAGTTCATTACTATGTTCACGGCAGCCTGCCACTGGAGCCTGTCATAAGCCAGATGAAACCAGTCCACAGACTATTTCCCTAATATCCATGTTCACCTTATTGTCCATCTATACCTATGTCTTTCCCGTGATTTCCTTCCTTCAGCTTTTCATATCAAAATTTTGTAGAAGTTTCTTCTCCTCCAACCTGTGCTACATACCCTACTCATCCCATCCTGCTTGACCTGACAATTCTAACATTTTGTGAAAACAAATTATGAAGCTGCATCCTCCAGTCACTTTCTCACTAAGGTCAAAATATTTCCCTTATGATCCTGTTCTCACACAACTCTCAGTCTGTGTTGTCCCCCAGACACAGAGCAAGTCCAGATCTTAAAAGGGCCAAAAATCCCTCACTTCTCTTCCACAAACAACTACCAGGATAGTACAGGTTCCCCTTGTGAGTGTGTGTCATATCCTTCCTGTCAAAGTTAAATGTGAGAGTGGCTTACCTCCACCATTCACCAAGCGATGTGTCAGAACAGTCTCTGTCTGAATAATTGGTTCGCTGGGGGTTGCAGTTACATCATGTTCGCCACGTTCATGTCTTAGAAAATCTTCGATGACTTCCCCTGCTAGGGTCAACAGAATCCAAATAAAAAAGAGGCAAAACTGAAACATAACAGTGGGACTTGGTAACATAAGTAGAACAGACACAGACAGGTGATGCCAGACCAGCTGTATGTGCCCGTCAGTTTGTGCCAATAAAGAAAACAAAAGAATGGGCTTATTTTCAACACAGAAACAAAGATGGTGCTGTGTGACTATTGGACATGCTGGCTCGGCTCTGATGGATTGAGTCCACCAGAGACTGTTCCTATCATAACCCAACCTGATGGTCACGGGGCACATGCAGCCTCCTAACCTCGTCTTCTAACACTTGTGGCTTATAACTGATGTGAACCTCTCATGGCAATGGCAGTAAAGAGGACTACCTTTCGGTATTTGACACCATGTGGTCTGGTAATAATTTACTGACATTTCAGAGGAACATACTGCTTCTATCTTCAGCGTCAAACAGTAAACTAGGGAGGCACTCTACCTGCTGGTTGTTGCATGTTTGTTTGCATGCCTGGCTTAGTATTTAACCCTGATGATGGAGGTAGTATGTTCCTCCAAAATCTCAACAAAATTCTGCCAGACTACACGGCGTCACATCCCAGAAGACACTCCTCCTCAACTGTACTTCATGTTCGTCTCTCATTGCAAGAGGCCACAACAGTCATTTTATTCTGGAAATGAAATGACTTCAGAAGGGAAAAGCAATGGAGAGTCCAACAGAATGCACAACTGCTCTAAATTTTATCAAATTATGAAACAAGTATCTTGGAATACAGATCCAAAAGCAACAATCTGTAAAGCATATTTTAAACTGATACCTACAAATAATGCTAAAACACTGATCCTTACTGAGGGAAACAAAAGTAAAATCCTCATTAATGGGCATGAGACTTTTGAGAAGGACTGCATGAAAAACATGAAGGGCCAGGTTCATGAATGAAATTTTTTGATGATAGCCAAAAATCCAAAATTTGTTAACACAGGCAGAGGAGAAATGATTAAAACGCTTCAGCCATGTGAAAGGGGTGGCTATAACAAGAATACTGGGAAGAGCATCACAATAAAACTTTAGAGGAAATAAACCTATGGGGTGACCCAGAAGAAGAAGAAGAAGAAGGTTTAGCCAGGTTGCACAAAACCTCAAGAAGGCAAAAAGCTGACAATAAATTGAGATAGAAGGCTGTCAGGAAAAAGAGAATGAGGACTTCTCATCAATCAACCTAAACACAATACTCGTACAATTGATGCTAGAGCAGAAACACAGCTACAGACAAAACAATTCCAGTTCATCTTATCTTCAGTGTTTTGAATGTGATGTTTAGGTAGGGTTCCCAGATACCCCGTTTTCCCCAGATTCTTCCGTTTTTTCACCGAAATTTTGTTCCTCCATTTATTTTTACCTGGAGTGGATAATTCTCCGTTTTTTTATTTAAGTCCATTGTGAATTATATTTCATGGGTTAAATATTATCATAAAATTTCTGTAATCTTTGGAAAATGACATTGTTATAGTTTCTTTCGTTGTGTTGCATTTCGTGAATGTTGGCAACACTTGAGGTTCTAAACCAAAGCAGAGGTTGTTGGTAACAGTGTATTTTTAATCCGTTCAATCTTCGCTAGAAAGTCAGTGTCAAGTTAGCAAAATTGTTTGAGGGCGAAGAAGATCCATCAAAGACTCTTCCACAGAAGAAGTTGAAATTCCAGGCCAAACATAATCAAATATATCTTAAGAAATGTGAAGATAAGTTTTCGTGGGTTAAGCCAGGAAAACGAGAACCAGGCATTTTGTACATTGTGTAGGAAGGATTTTTGTATTTCGCATGGTGGACAAAGTGACATGCACAATACAAGGGACATAAAATTAAGGAAAAATGTAATTCTGGAAGTTCAAATAAACTTTTGAAACACTTTGTTAATTTAAACAATAAAGAATATGACAACAGCACTGCGTGCAAACTTGGTTTAGTGTTCATGCAGTGAAACACAACTTAAGTTATTCCAATCTGGACTGCGGAAATAAACTTGTGTCCCATATTTCAGTCATTCCGTGATTGCTTCCAAACTTTCATGTGGACGCACTAAAGCGGAAATGATAGTGAAGTACGTTCTTGCTCCTAAAAGTGTAAATGACTTTATGTCTATTTTAAGATGTCCAGAAAATACTTCAAAATTTTTTCGTTGGCTACCGATGCGTCAAACAGAAGCAATCGAAAAATGTTCCCTGTTTGCATCCGGTGCTTCAACCCTTTAAAGGGAGTGCAGAATAAACTTCTAGATTTTGTTGAAACTGCTGAGGAAACGTCTATGGCAATTACTGGTTTGGTGCTGCAGAGCTTAGAGAAGCACAACCTGGATGTAAATTATGTGTATTCTTATTGTGCACACAATGCCAATGTGAACTATGGAAAAACACATTCCGTATATCAGTTGCTGCGAAGTAAAACACAAATTTACTGAAAGCTAATTGCTCTAATCATGTCATACATAACACAATTAAGTTTGCAATTGACAGATTAGATGTTGATGTTGAAAGTGTAGTCTTAAAGATATATAATCACTTCTCTGTCTCTGCCAAAAGAAGAGAAGAGTTAAAATCATTCTTTGAGTTTCTGAATTTGGAGTGGACTGAGATTTTGAGGCATGTTCCAACTAGGTGGCTGTCATTAACACCAGCCATTTCTCGACTGCTTCAGAACTGGGAAGCAATGAAGAGTTACTTCAATAGTATTCCCAACTGTCCAAAAATATTATCTAACATTTTCATGAAAGATGACCCAGAGGAAGCAGTGTTGCCTGAAATCTTCTAATTTCTTAAGTAATATTTGAAGTCAGCTGGAAATGGTAGATAAAACACTGGAAAGGTCTGACTTAAGTGTACTAGAGACTTACAAACAAATGAAACTTCTCAGTTCTAAAATCCAGCAGAGAAGGAAAGACAACTTTTTTGGTAGCAAAGCAAAAGAACTCATTAATGGATTGTTTATGCCATTACAGAAAAAGGTTACTGAAGACCTGAACAGCTTTTATAGCAATATGCTTCAGTATCTGCAAAAAAGATATGATGTGACAGATGACAATCCCTATGCATCCCTTGCAGCATTTTCTCTACAGGAAGGGATTGAGTTCAAAGATTTTGAAAAAGCCATGGAAGTGTTTCAGCTAAGTGAAAATGTTTGCATTGATGACCTGTACGAGGAGTTCACCAGCCATCGAGATTACCTCTGCAACAGTGTGAACAGATATGGTGATTATGTAGCAAACTGACTTACGTTTTTTCCTTCAATACCTGAGCATGATGTACCAAATATTTCCAAAGTGGCAGGATTTTTGTTTAGCATCCCTGGCTCAAATGCTTTTGTGGAGCGAATCTTTTCATTCATGAAAAGTAAGTGGAGTGACACAAGAAACAGATGCTCAACAGATTTAATCAAGGCAGAACTCCAGGTGACAGTGAACTATGAAAGCAAGTCCTGTTCAGAATTTTATAAATTTTCAAAGGGTGATGTTCAATTATTAAAAAGTGCTAAGAGTTCAGTGAAATACAATTAACAGCATCCAATCGACCAGCCCTTGAAAGTTATAAATATGTAGTATTTAATATGTGTGTGTTCTACAAATGTGTGCTAGGTAATATTTTATGCATTCTATAAATATGTAATAGGGCTACGTAATTTTTGTTTTGTTCTATAAATGTGTAGTAGGCCTGTGTAATACAGATGTGTAGTAGCATTTTGTAAGTTATGTAGTATGTTGATTATGTATATTTTATAGCCTATTAGTTGTGAAAAATGTCGTTATAAACAAGCAACAAGACATCATTCCTTTTTTTATTTTACAAAATCTGCCAACCCTATGTTTAGGGAACACAGGGGAAATGGGAGAACCCTGAGAACATCTCACTGACACAGATCCAGGTGTACAGCATGTGAGTAACCAGTCAGACCATGAACCCTGAACCTAAGGAGCACCTTGGCTGGCGAGAAGAGGAGCACGATGCTTGTTGCACATCTCCTGGTCCTCGCTCACCGTCTCAAGGAGAGGCAACGTGTTATCAGGGCAGTACGGAGACGACAGCGATGCCTCCACCAGCATACCCCCACCATCCAGTCGTGAGTCTGACAGCGGTGCCGAATGGTTTGCGCGTGGCAAGCTCCCATATCCTGGAACACATGCGTTTAACGGAGGGCTATAGTCTCAAGGCACAGACAAGTGAGGAGCTAGACCAAGAATTCTCATGCATCATCCCCCCCCCCCAACTACCATCTCTTCATGCACTCTCCCCTCTCTAGCCTCATTCTTCCATTTCAATGACTGGACACACTATGACTCACTCCATAGCATTAGTCAAGGGGGGGGGGGAAAGCAGGCTAGGGTGGCAAAGGGGTGGAAAAGGTTCTCTTCTCCTACAAACTCTCTCGTATCCCCACTGCCTGCTAGAATTCTTTTGCTGGTTCAACTGTAGTAAATTGGGTAGTTTTCTGCCCACTGGTACTGCATCTCAAAATGGACAGAACAGTGAGAAGTCTACATACATGATTATCACAAGTGCAAACCTTCACACCTTTCTCTAAGGTATTGTGCTTGAACATCATCCTCCCTCCTTATGAGCAGGTCTTCCTAGGGATCTTTTCCCTTCAGGTGTTTCAACTGAAATTATGAATCCACTTATCATTGCTCCCCAAAGCTTTGTCATGTCATCACACGTGCTTCTGTATCTTATCACATTCTTTCTACACAACACAAAACATCAGTTCTCACAGCAGTGACTATGCAGAGCGGTGTCTTCTGGTATGTGACGCCATGTTACAAATGTTTTGGAGGAACACTGCTCTCCTTTGCAGGGTAGAATGGTAAGCCAGATGTCATGGGAAAACAAGGGTACAAACACAGGGAAATGACCCCTAAAAGGGCTGAGTTGAGAATTTGAGGGGAGAACAGGAAAGATAAAATCTTTTGAGAAGGAACTGCATGAGGGAAAGACCAGATGGCACAAGGCATCAGTAGGGGCATTGAGGCATCAAGCGGAGTTCCCAGCATGGTGATCCAAAGTCATGTGAAAGCCACAAGTGGTTCTCCCACACTAAAACGTTTGGCCCTGCTCTTGCTGTGAGCTGACATGCCCACTGGCCCCCTTGCAGTCCTTTTCCTTTCCTCACTGGTTTTCCGGTTTTGTTTTTACTCTCCTACCCCAAAGATTGGGGTGGTGAGTTTTTCTGAAACACTTCCATCCACCTACCGTTTTACACAACCACACTCATACCAGAAAACAGTAATCCTCATATTCACCGCCATGAACACACCAAATCTGACACATTTGTTGTAATAAGTGTGTCACAGTGTCACAACCCAAAAGACAGTAATGATCTGAGAACCTTGCCTTCAATCAGACTTTCCAACCAACATTCCATATGCATTTCTCATCTCTCATGCATGCTACATGCCTCACGTATTCCCTCCTCCTCAATGTGATCACCCCCAGAAAACAGAGTGAAGAGAACAAACTCTGAAGCTCACCATCATGTAATTTTCTCCATCCTCCTATAGCTTCCCCTGTCTTAGGTCCAAATATTCTCCTCAGTGTCCTATTCCCATGCTCTAGTTACATTAAGAAGGCAGACAAGTTGGCAACCCTGCATGCAGCAAGACAGAAGATAGAACACTCCCTTACTAATCTCACCCAGATCGGATCCAATAGGGGTAGAGGGGGTGGCAGGTACAGACGAAGCCTTGTGCCGGAGACTCGATGACCGTAAGCTACGGTTAATAGATGGTTCTTCCTTTCGAAGTGGACCAATGTCTTCCAAGATCTCACGCTCCACACGACCTGAGTACCTAAACTTTGTGCCCCATGAGAAGAAGCTGCCGCCTGTCACAACTGACGGAACCTCTGAACTTGAAGGTAACCTGCAACGAAATGGGTCCTGTTTCAGTTGTTTGCAGTAGAAACCTATACACCTGTGGCTTCAGCGATTCTAATGCTAAACCCCCAACACTGGACACGATCCTCGGCCAGTTCCATCCATCTCCCATCCTCATAGCCTATCTCCCTACAATCCACCTCACTAACCACCTGTCCCAATACAGAGCCGAAAAGTTCGACAGCACTGAGCAAGATCTTGAGTCAGTTCCAACCATCTCTCATTATAAGGCCAATTTCCCTGAGATCAATCTTAACGTTACCCATCTATCCATTCGTGTTTATGGGGGGGAGAGATAGAGATATCCTTGTAGGAGGCCATGGAGGCCCAGAGGTTTGAGATGTCAAGGCTCCATTTTCTAGACAATCAGCTCACAGACAGCAAAGAGGTTGTCAGCCATACGTGCTGGCCGGCCGGCCGCCCTTACCCCCAGGACCACAGGGCAGCTGGAAGGATTAGGTCAATTGAAAAATGCAATGACCTCACCGGGAATTGAACCTGCACCTTCCAGCTTGTAGCATGGTGCCTCAACCTACTACACAAGAATATAAAAGTTTCGGAACTTAAAAATTTCAGGTTTTCCCAATTTTATTCTTCCCTTAGATTTATCATGAACCTCATTTCTGTGCATCAGAACAGTTCTTCAATATTTGTCACATAATTTGCTAAACTGAAACTTGGCAAGGTTTTGGGAATATTGCAACACATGATTAGGTTCCATAAGAATTGAGACCTTCCTGATCAGCCAAGTAAGTTGAACAAGTTGAGCTACAGGTAATGAATGCTCTAGACCTTTATTTGGTAAGTGCTTCGTTTGAATCTCAGCTGGGACATTGGCTATCCTGACTGAGGTTTCCCATGGCTTTCCTCAGTCCCTCCAAGCATATGCTGGAATAGTACTATAATCAGGCCATGACTGCTTCCTTCCAAATCTTCTCTAAGTCATTAGTCATTGCATCATCCAACACTAGAGTCTTGATACTGAAAGTGTCATCAATTGGCTTATGAAGAAATACTATATCAAAACTACAGTGACGAGACATTAAAAAATAAAGCAACTTGTAATGACCACCAACAGCAAAGTATAAAACATAATAATGCAGGAAACTCTTGTAACTCTTGTCATCACTTTATTGCCCGTTAGTACTATTTCAACCTCACAGACTGACAGTCAACACTGAAAACAGAAGCATATAAATCTAACTTCATAGTGTATCTATACAAATCCCACCAACACATGTTTCTGATATTATTACTGCTTTAACATACTAGTCTGGTACAAGTCATACAGCCTTGAAATAAATAAATATTGATATATTCATCAATTATTTACTGTTTAAATGGTGATTAAGGCAACTCTACTATTCTCTGGTGTTACATCACAGTTGATTCAAGTCTCATACAATGCTGAACACAACTGTTCCAAAGATTCACATGGTAATGAAGTCAGAGAAGAGATACATACGTAAAAAACAACATCTGTTCAACGGCACAGCGCCAGACATGCCGACACGCTGCCCCCGTGGGACACTTGAACCCGACAGTGTGCTTCTTCTGTAAGAGACAGACAATGTTCAGACAATTGCATGGCTAATTCAGCTTACTGGATAAAGAACTTAACCATCTCCATGTTCAATTCTTATAGTACGTTCATTACTTTATGTGAGACGAGGCAGGGTTCAGACATCTTTATGTCTGTTTTGTCTGTTTATCTGCCAGGTTCTGTTCCTTTGTAATGTCTGGTAAGACTTCCAAGAATCCAGCTACACAACATCATGACACAACAGACCTTTTCAATTTGTCATCATCCTCTTCCAAAGACAGGAAAGAAGTATTTAAATATTACTGTACGCCTGTCTTAACGTATGGAGCTGAAAGCGGCAGACTAACAGCATCTCAAACGAGACTGTTCAGGAGTACACAAGGAAAAACCGAGACACTATCAAAAAAAAAAAATCAGGATTGACCGTGAAAGAAAACTTAATCTTTTGATAGATGAATTTCTTCTGAAGTATATAAAAATTCAGTTCATACCTCAGAGGAAACACCTTATATCTCTGCTGCAAATACCAACCAGTTAATGCTCTTTACAGCAAAAATCACTGTTTATCATAAGAACTAACTTCATGAAACTAAGCTGTTTCTGAAAAGCTGCCAATTGTGTAGGTACTCGAAGAATTTCCCAGCAATTTATGGAGCCCAAAAGTCCATCTTCGTGTTCACAAGAGCCCTCCATTGGTCCATATGCTGAGCCAGATCACTAGAGTCCATACCATCCCATCCTATCTCTCTTAAGATCCATTTTAATATTATCCACGCACCTACATCTTGGTCTTCCTAGTAATCTCTTGCCTTCTGGCTTTCCCCCCAATATCTTATATGTATTCCTTTTCTCTCCCATTCGTGCTACATGCCCTGTGCACCTCATCCTCCTTCACCTGACCATTCTAATTATACTTCGAGAAGAGTACAAGTTATGAAGCTCCTCATTATGCAGTTGTCTCCAACCTCCTGCCACATCATCTCCCTTCGGTCCAAATATTCTCCTCAGCACCCTTTAATCAAACACCCTCAGTCTGTATACCTGCCTTAATGTCAGACACAAAGTTTCACACTCAAACAGAAAATCAAGCAAAATTCTATAAGATTTGAGATTTTCATAGCAGTGACTATGAAGAATGCCATCTTCTGGGATGTGATGCTGTGCAGATCTTGTGTGAAAGCAGGTTTTGGAGGAACATCAGGTCTACACAATGTCACATCCCAGAAGACGGCATTCTTCAGGCAAAATTATAGTTTTGTATACTCTAATTTTTGTCTTTAGACAGCAGATGAGAAGATAAAAGGATCTGGGAAGAATGGTAGCAGGCATTACTAAAATTCAGTCTACTCTTAATTTCCTCCTGTATAAAGTTCTGATTTGTTACTGTAATTCCCAGATATCTGAACTGTGTCAAATTTTCAAAACAGCTGTTGGCTATCTTTGTCTTATGATTTTGCCCTGCATTCTGGTGACAAGCCAGCAACATATAATCAGTTTTCTTTGTGTTTACTTCTAGACCAACCTCCTTACTTGTGTCAATTAAAGTCTGTGTGTTTTTCTTTATGGTACCTACATTATCACCCAGTAGATTCACATCATCAGCATAGATCAGCTGGTGATGTGTCCCACTTAATTTCAGTCCCACCTTGCTTTCCTGGACCTTCCTAATGGCATAGTCTAAAGCAAAGCTTAAAAGCAGTGGTGACAGGAAAATTATCGGACAAATGTTTACCTATATTGACTTTACTATACATTTCGTTTAAACACATTTTAATCAGCCTAACTAGTTTCATGGGTACCCCAAACTCTATGAGAATACTGCAAAACACTTCCCTCCTAACTGAATCATAGACTGTTTTTAATCCTATAAAGAGCTGATGTACTGTATCACTGTACCCCAATTTTTTCTCAAGTATTTGATGAATGCAAAAGATCTGATCAGCAGTTGAGCTGTTACATTGAAATCCACACTGATGTTCCCCAGTAACTTCATCGTGAGAACATTACAAAACATAAGAATACACTGTGTGGACAGACTGCAGAGTTTCATTATGTTAAAGCAGGTGGCAGTTATAGAACCACTGGGCTTTAAAGGGATCAGGACATTTTTATGAATGAATGAAGACAAAATCCTAAAGAAGTTTCTGAACATTAAAACTAAATGAAAAATTGTGGGAAACAAGATGGGAACCACAGGTTGCAGAAGATATCACACAGAAGGAAGGGATAAAATGAGAGGAAACCGTTGAGGTGCTCAGTGACGGCAGAGACAGACAGAGAGGCTTGGCTGCCAGACAACAGACAGGGTGGAAATGTTGAAGTTTGCTTTTCATTAAAAATATCGAAATGTGCTACAAAGAAAACCTACAAACCCCAGTACAAAAATATACTCATCCAGGAAGTGTAACTTATCACAAGGAGATACTCACCTTTGTCCTGAGGTCCTAGGTGAGCAGCAGAACAGACAAAACAGGATAATGTAAGGACACAAAGCTCCTCTTATGGATACTGTGATTTCATGCTCCATATGAGTTGACCTTATATTAAGATTTTGCTCGCCTGCGAAATGACGCCATGCAATCTGAAGATATGTAACTAATGTTTCGAGTAATCTGCTACCTCTATTTTCAGGGCAGAAGACTGAACATAAAGGCAGCACATTCCTCAAAAACATTAGTGCCTATCTACCAGACTATATGGTGTCACACAACAGAAGACTGTGATATTAATATTCATCACCGTTAAGAACCTCTTGTTCTGATTCACCATATGTCATTTAACAAGAATGCTTCAGCATTACACAGCACCAAAATTAAATGACCACAAATGACTGTGGGGGGGGGGGATCTTGAAGGAGATGGTCACATCCTACTATGTTCCTCAGAGTGGTCACATAGCACACACTTTCAGTTACTGTTTGGGTTTCACTAACTATAATTTTTAATGAAAAATGTGTAATTAATTAACTTCACTATCCAAAGCCTGCCATTAGACTCAATCCTAAGCCAGTTATATCCACCCCCCACCCCCAATCCTCACAGCCCATTTCCTTAAGATCCATCTTACTAATTAACTAACCCTCCGGCAGCAGAACCCGAAGTTTCAACACTGCTAATACCAAAGCCCATCACTGGACGACCATCCTCAGCCAGTTCCATCCTGGGATCAAACCCAGGCCACTACAGCTGTTAAATGCCAAACACCTTTAAGGATTTTATATTTACATTTCATGCTTCACATGAAAGACAACACATGGTTTTGTAAGACTCATTTAACTTTTAAAAGGTCATCTTGTATGAGGGTATATACAGTAATCACTTCTGAAATGCTTCCCTGGCCAAATTTATAGAAACATTCCTTTCTTCCTCACACATCTTCCTGAAACAGTATTTTAAACTGTTAACTTATATCATTTCTCTTAGATCCATATGCTTTACTCGGCACTTTACTTCCGCATACACCTGAAGCCTGTGTCCTCTTGTCTCCATATGAAACTGAGTGCATTCAGGGCTATGGGAATAACAGTGAATCTTAGCAGCTCTGCTGAATTTCTGACCTCGTTGAATGTGAGGTGCACAATGAACATCTTGCCCTCGTAGTTGATCTTCTGCACCTCCACCCAGCGGAAGTGGTGGGTCTTGCGGGAGCCCTGGAAGGTCAGGATGCCACAGTGGTTGATGCCAAGGTAGAGCTGATTGCCCCTGTGGTCCTGCAACAAGGATCCTCACTTCAACTCTCTGCCTAATTATGTAACTTACACGCTTAACCAATAAACAATAATAAGTAGCTAACTAAATAGACTGGCAGGCTCAAAAACTAACAAACCAACCACCCAACCATGTAACTAAATTATTTAATTAAATGACTAAGCAATCAATGAATGAACCATTCCATAATACTGTCCCAATATTTGCTACTACCATCACAAAGTATAATCGAATTCAAAGAAAGTCACATTTCAATTACCTACATAACATTTCACACCAGCTCTCTAAGTCAGCACTCACGCTTCTCGCTGTCCCTGTCCAACTTCGTTAATGTGTTAAAATTCACACTTCATAAGCATTCATTGCTCTTCCTGTTATTTGAACAGCTATGTACATGTTCTGCAGTCTGCTCCACAGTCTGTACACCTGATGGTGGCAGCCAGTTGGGCTGCTGCACAGTGACAGTGACTAGTACAAGTGCTGAGTTAGAATACACAGTGCAACACGACGCTGAAATACAATATTACACTCCAGCTTTGCCTTAATCTTGTAAACACTAAATCTCGCCTACTTGTTATTTCCTGTTACCACANGTTGGGCTGCTGCACAGTGACAGTGACTAGTACAAGTGCTGAGTTAGAATACACAGTGCAACACAACGCTGCAGTACAATATTACACTCCAGCTTTGCCTTAACCTTGTAAACACTAAATCTCGCCTACTTGTTATTTCCTGTTACCACACTCACATCCCAATCCACTATAAACCTTATTCTGAATAATTAACGTAACTTGTTAAGCTCTATAAATCATAAAGATCCCTGCTCTGGTTCAGACTGGAAGCCAAGCAGGCAACTCTACCACTCTGAGTCACCTTGCTGGGACTCTGCAGGGCGTGTAAGCAGTCTCAGTACCTTCACGGGATGCGGATCAACCCCATATGTATCTAGTTGGCAGGCCTTGCGCAGGAAGTTGTTCTCGACTTGTGCAGGAGTCTGTCCCTTGAGCTGTGTCTGATGAATGTCCATTATCTTCTCCTCAATCTCTGGGGTCTGCTTCAGGAGCAGATTGAACTCAGACACATAGTTTTCCTCATGCTCCTCAGGGTCATAGTCACCCAGTTCGGCTGCGACACAGAATTGCGGGCCACTTTAGGTTTAGTGAAACAACTGAATACCAGTTGGCAACATGCACATGTCTTCAGCAAAACAGGTAGGGAAATGACTTACTAATGTGTTGTACAAGCATTATGCTGTGCACTGTTCATTATTTTAGGGATATTTAAAACAAATGTTTCAGAACCTGGATCCACTTCCATCATCAGGAGTGACAGAAAGGATCATACTCAGCTGGGCACATTAGAGCAACTAGTCTCAGTCAGAGAACTCTCTTTTTAATTTTAATTTAATGGTATCATCAGCTGTCATCTGTATGAGATAGAAATACAAATGCAAATCAAACAGACATGTCTGTCAAAGTCAAATATGAGTGGAAGCCAGGCACACAGACAATTAAAGAATTACTTCCTATCTCATAACATGGGGAGCCATATGCTACTGACATCTATGGTTGGCTGGCTGATCATCCCTTCTCCTGCTTTGATGAAAAGTGTCCAGGTGTGACATTAACCACTCACCTTCATCCACTACCAAAGGTTCCGAAAGACTGGAGCTATACTCCTAGAAGACAACCAAGGTTTTCTGTATTCCTCCACAGATATGCTATTCTACTCTACCATGATTAATCAAACCAGACGTACTTACACTGGATAATGTAAGCTGCCAGAAGTGCCGCTTCTGCCGGCGTGCAATAGAGCCGGCCGTGAAGCAAGTCCCGTTTTAGCTGCAGATAGATCTGGTAGCGTGTGATCTCCTCCTTGAGCCGGAATGGGTCGGGTGGGTAGAACTTGACCCGAAAGCTGAAGAGGATAGGGTCCATGTCTACAAATATACCACATGACAATAACTCACTGGCTCTGCCATCTTTATAATTCACATACCACAAGAATTTAAGCATTTGTGAGCAACTAGCTTGACATGTTACACAGCTAGCTACGATGTGTGGCTTCAGGCTGTGCCATAGCTCAAGCAGTTAGTCGCTGGCTTCCCACCGCGGCAGCCCGGGTTCGATCCCGGGTCTGGTCAAGTGGGATTTGTGGTGGACAAAGTGGCACTGGGGCAGGTTTTCTCTGAGTACTTCGGTTTCCCCTGCCAATCTTCATTCCACCAATTGCCACACAATCACCCTCACCGATCATCTGGGGCTGGTACAAGAGGCCAGAAGTGGCTGCAGTACATAGGACTTAGTCACACCCCACTAACAATAAAAAAAGTGTGGCTTCATGATCTTTCGAAGTACAGTATGGTCACATTTTATTCAAATCTTACATAGTGCAAAAAAAATGTTAATATAAAGTCTCACTTCATGCATAAAGTTTGAAATAATGTGAATCACCTCCAAGAAATAGCAAGAATCACTTATGTATTTCAAACCTTGTCTTGAATTATGCAATGTCTTCAGGGATGCATCCCTCGCATAAAACAGGCCCAGGCTATCCTATCACAAGTACCATAGAGCAGAACCTGGCTGAGTTTTGCAGAGGTTACCTCCCATCCACTGATTTATTCAACTACAGCATTTCTACCTGCCCTGGTAAGATCCATTCAGGGAGGGAGTCAGAAAATTTGCTTACAGATTATATTTAAGCCATTTAATACCACTTTTACTGAACACCCTAGTGTACTCAGGTTCTAGAATGATTCTTAAAAATACTTTTAATATTTAGTATTATTGTCTGGAATGTTTCTGTCTTCTTCTAACTGTTCTACTTCCTTTAAAAATCCCGATGGGGGCGGAAGCCTGGCCTGTCCCTCTGTCCCTCTGTCCCTCCTACCAGCACCCATGATCATAGAACGCAATCAACTGGGCTACAGAGAGTAAAAGTAAAAAGTAAAAGTAAAGCTATCCCTGTACCAGGCTGTGAAGGACCATAGGGTTGTGAGACGTTGAGGGTCCCACACTATCTAGACAGTCGGCTCAAAGATGGCAGTAAGGTTGTCAGCCTTACGCGCCGGTCACGCTTTACTCCCCAGGAAAATTATTTAATTAATTCCTGGTACTCATTTCTGTTAGAGGGTGAGTAAACCCCAGGGCCTAGTGCGGCTGGAAGGATTAGGTCCACTGAAAAATATCCAATGACCTCATCGGGACATGAACCCACGACCTTCCGGCTTGTAGCATAGCCCCTCAACCAGAGTACATGACTAATCTAACAGATGTGTACTTCGTAACCAGCCAAGTGCCAGGTCAGAAAGGATGCCCTCAACTTAAGGACTGAGAATGCCTGGTGACAGCTGTTACACTCTACATGGGACAGACATTTGTGTGAAGTAATGGCGGGGTGATTACCAGGGGAAACCCCACAAAAATCAGAGATAGACCTGCTCCAGCACCACTCTCACCACCACAAATCTTACATTAAGTCACCCTGAGCTGAACCCAAGACTCAGCAATGAGAATCTGGCATCTAATTGCCTAAGCTAGGGCACACCTCACTGCGAAGCAGCTTCTATCATTTTCCTGCTGCACACTTACCGGAGTATAGCTAAAGACATTACGAAACCTACACCATCCTGTTGCCAAAATGTAAGGTGGCCACAGCTGATGAAGCAATGTGCAAATATTGTGGTATAGTTTCTGGGTAAAAAGGTAAAGCTCTCCCAGTAACAGGCCATGGAGACCCATAGGGTTGTGAGATGTCAAGGCTCCCACATTTTCTAGATAATCGGCTCACAGATGGCAGTGACGTCAGCCTTATGCACTGGCTGCCATTCTACTAATATTCCTGGTACTCTTTTCTGTTAGCAGCTGAGTTGACCCCAGGGTCACAGTGCGGCTGGAAGGATTAGGTCAATTGAAAAAATCAAATGACTTCATCGGAAACTGAACCGACAACCTTCTGGCTTGTAGCAGTGCCTCAACCTATGATACTGCTACTATGCTACTATCACTACACACTGTGATACTGACAAGGAAAACAACTGTACCCAAGCAAAGAATGGGTACTCCTCCTATTTTCCACAAATTCTGTTCACTGGAAGTGGTTGTAACTAATGCAGCATTTCCCAGAAACATCGGTCCTCATTTGGGAATGGGACACTGAGCTATGCAACAGGCTCACACACTGGCGCCACTTGCTTACCTTTAACTTGTTTGACAATTGCCTTGGCAGGGTCCAGCCAGTGCTGAAACACAGAGCAAGGAAACAATTATATGGGAAGGTTTCACTGACACACTGATAAAAATTAATACCAGGGAAAAGAGAACCTCTTGATAAGCTGATGATTCCTTACATGGTGAAAGTACACCCTTCCTCTGATGTAACTCTCGGACCCATTACATCATTCACAAGGGCCCACCACAGGTCCTTGGCAAGCCACTTATACTCTGCCCACTCTACAACACCCTGTCTCTTTATTATGAACTTTAAGATAACCCTCAAATCTGCGAGTAGGTTTCAGAAGTGGTTTCCTCCCTTCAGGTTCTCTGACAAAAAAAATTACTTCCATTTCTCATCTTCTCATGCATGCTACACATTTTGCCAATTCTAATCCCCTTATATTTGCTCACTCTGATAAGGTTCTGAGAAAAGCACCTCATTACACAGTGTTCCCCATCCTGCTGTCACTTCCTCCTTCAAATATTCCCCTCAGACACCCTCAGTCTGTTATTCTCTGAGTGTTACATCAAGTTCCAAACTCATACCCTCTGTCTCGTATGGTCGACATAGCGCAGGCCAAAGTAGTCCTTCTCGATGAGGTTCAACTGCTGACACACGTGCTCCAGGAGCTGCTTCCCCTTGTCACTGTTCTGAAACACACATGAGATCTGACTGTCTCACTGCGGTGATGGTTACTGTTCTCTGGGATGTGACGCCGTGTAGTCTGGTTTAGGAGGAACTTGCTGCCTCCATGGTAGAACAGCAGGACTGACATGACAGTGGAGCCCTTCAAAAACCCTAAATCGCCCATTAAGTACATGTTTCTGTACATAACCTGTAACATGTATGTATGTATGTATGTATGTATGTATGTATGTATATAATGTATAAACTGTAATAAACAGTACATACTCGTATATAAGTATAATGCACAGTACAGTAAGTAAACCCTTGCCAATCTGCAATAACTGGGGGGAGGGAGGCCATTTAGATTAACTGATAATCTGAAATAATGAAGCAGGAGATAACCCTAAAAGACTTTCCTTCATCCAGCTGAAGCCAATCTTGGGCATTTTCTTGCATGGTTTCAGTCTCTCCAACTGCCCTCAACAGAGTCTTAAAGTCCTCTTGCTCCTAAATCCCATGTGTCTTTTAAAGTGTGTACAGAATTTTTCATTTTTCATATTTCGATTCGGATTAGCGAGGGTTTACTGCGATTTTATTTTGAATTACACAGACTGGGAGAGTGACATGGAAGACGGAAAGAATAAAAGGGGAAAACAGTATACCTTCCTGCCCGAGTGCGTATGGTTCAATTCCTGTTAAGATACGGCTCCAATGGAAAGGCACTGCGACCCTACAAGCTTCTGCATGTTTTGCATGTACCTTATTCACGCAGGTTACAGGGAAGGAAGAACAAGGGCTGGGGCTAGGGGCGAGCTAACGGGAGCCGCGTAAACTGAATGAAATTGTGCGGTCTCGAAAAGCTTACTTAGAAAGTGGAAAAGTGAGAACCAAATCAATTAAAAGTCTCCGATATCGAATTTTTAAGAAAATCCATGAAACGCTTTATGGGGTGTATGGAAAAGCCCATTTATGGCCCTACATAAACCGGGCCTTATGATGAAGAGTTCTATCTTCTGGTACATAACGTCCTGTAGTCCAATTAAAATCAACCGACGTTTCGGAGGAACATGCCGCCCTCATCTTCAGGGTCGAATAAGCGGAGCCGGCTGGACATCGGATGTCCTGGCTAACGTTTCATTATTTTCCTCAGTCCTGCACGCAAATACCGGGAGATTGTCTCAGTTAGTTCACAACCCCCTCCATTTAACTCTTTAAATGCTGCATTTCTTCTAAATAATACTACCTCACAGGAAACATTACGTCACCACTACAAAGCCCAACCGGTTGCTGCTGTTTAGGGAAACAGTCGCTGTTTGCTGTGAGAACCATACGGAACACATAGACACACTGTGGGCAGAATGCAGAGTTTTAATATGTTGAAGCAAATGTTATATATAGTAACCACTGAGCTTTAAAGGGTTAAATCATTTCAGTTCATCATTGTTCCACCACAATCGAGGATGTACAGTCTTGGTAGAGACAGCGTCGTTAAAAAATCCACAATAAAAAAAATTAATATAATGTTCGTAATACTGGAACGTCGTGAGCCAGATTGAATTTCTTCACGGGCCGTAGTTTGCTGAACCCGTGCTCTAGGATGTGAAGCAGGATCAGTGATGGCCTTGACTCCTTCGGACGGGCCATCTACTTGGGGGCACGAGATAACCCGGGCAGCCACAACAAGTCCATCCACCGTGGCAGAGGCTGTCTGAAAGCGGCCACAGACCACGCGGTCCGGCCTTCGCTTCACGTGACGCACAGTTTGTGCCTAGCGGCCAGTGTCTGCTCCGTCTGCTCTACGCTACGGACTGTCCGGAGTCAAGACAGACACGACTCGGTCGAGAGAACCCTTCTTCAGAGGTTGATAAATTCCCTGTCTATTTCAAACGCGAGGGTACATTACCCGTATGTACAGAAGCTCGCTAGTGGATCCTGTCAGGAGCCAGTTCAATCCACTTCACATACTATGTCACCTATCGGGTTGATGTAGCTGTAACGACTGGTATTCGGGAAGTCCTCGGTTCGAAGCTGAACTAGAACAACGGCTATCCTCGTCGGTTTCCACGGTTTTTCTCAGTCCCTCCATACAAATGCCAGAACAGTACCTCAAATTAGGACACGACTGCTGCCTTTCAAATGTTTTCCCAATCAATCAATAGATTTGACGCTAATGACATCAACCCCCGCTGTCAGATCCTCAAACCTACTTTATCTGGAACATTTCCCAACAGATAATTTTGTTTCTTGCGTCAGACCAATACAAACCTAAATTTCAATCGAAGCCCATTTTCATAATGGTGTTTGGGTATGGTGGATCGATTTTGTACCCACCCTATACACCAACCTGTCACTCGGTGGTCAAAAACCGCAACTTTCGTTCAACTGTTTCAAGCAGACATGCCGACACAGAGGCCCCAAACGGTCGGCACTTCTACCTTGCGTCTGGGATTTTCTCTGATGCTACCAGCAACTAGACCAGGTGGGGCGATAGCTGAATGATGAATTGCAATGGATTTGGAAGGAAGCGGTCGTGACCTAAACGCCGTCACTTGGCTGTAGTGACAGGGAAACCCCACGAGGTAGCAGCTGAGACGAGTTTGAAGAGTCCTGTTTTCTGCGACATGACGACATGCGGTCTGGTGGACAGTTATCAACGTTTTGGAACCCCAATCTCGCATGTTCACTGTTTACGTTGATTTCCGCACCGTGTGGATGTTGGACAGTGCTGCCGACGTTGCGGAGGAACAGTGACACCAGCGAGTCTGCGCGAAAGCTTAGAATCCGTATTGACGGTGGGTAAAGCTGCCGGGGCATGAAGCTGACCACTCATCTCCAATTAGTGCCGAGGTTAAGAATGGTGGAGCTATACCCTCACACTCCCATACTTCTTCATGCCGGGGCATGAAGCTGACCACTCATCTCCAATTAGTGCCGAGGTTAAGAATGGTGGAGCTATACCCTCACACTCCCATACTTCTTCATGGTGTGGTGCTTAATTAATTAAGCTTAGGGATAACTTTACGTTTTATCTTCTGCTGGGTGGTGTTAGGGGGGTTCTCGGTTTGAATCTCGGCGGGCACACCGGCTATTGTGACGTCTTCCTCATTTCTTTGAGACAGATGTCGGGATAGTACCTCGGTTAGGCCACGACCACTTCCTCCTATATCCTTTTCGTCGCTCTTCTAGCATCCTACGCTTCAACACAGAACAAGGAACAGGAAGTGGAGACAAACGGTCATGCCCAATTTAAGATACTCTTCCCAGGAGGAAATGAGGTAAACCACGGAAAATCTCAGTCACAATCTCCGGACCAGGGCTTGAATACAGGACCCTACCGATTATGACGAAGGAGTGCTAACAATCTACCACGACGTTTCTTGCCAATAGACGCATGCGCAAAATAATGAAGCTACTGGAAAGCAACTAAATGGCCTAACAGGCCTGGAATGGTTAAAGGAACGTGTAACATATGAAAATGGGTGAACCTTGACAAACACAAAGAAACAGGGACGGAAACAAGGATGAGGAGGAAGTTTCGACGCTTGTGTGAATGTGACATGCAGAGCTAATGTACCTCCACCGCATCGGAGGGTGTGGGGGTACCTACTTAGGCCTGCATTCTTGCTGAGGAGGGCTGCAACATGGCGTACATAAACGAAAGACAAGGAAGCAGACGCGAGTGTTCACCGCGCGGTACGGCACCCACTGAGCTCAGTCAAGCTGTCCACGTGCACAGTGTCGCCGGGACACATTCTTCTCAGGGACAGCCGACAAGGGGTGTCCGCTAGTGCACCGGAGACACAAATTAGCTCCAATTACCGGTTACTTTACGGCGCTGTCAGTGTGTACACTAAAGAGCGTCAAATGGCAGGTATTTTTGCCTGGAGGGACTGAGGAATATCGTGAAAGCCCTGTGCCTGCACCAACTAACAGACCCAACAAACTAGGTTTCATATTCTTACGACTGATAACGGAAACAAAGCCCGACTCCGAAACTCCGTGTCCGTGACGAGAAACAGCGCCGCAGGATGTCCGCAACACCTGCAACACCGCCGTGCTGCAGCGCGGTCCTGTACCTCGCGGGTTCTCTCGTATCTAGAGAAAGCGCCATTTGCATTGACCCAGCAATTCATAATAACCCCGCCCTGCGTCCCTCAAAACACGGCCCAATAAAAATACTTGGGGAAAACAAAACGTATAATCGCCGTTGACAGTGGCCGCCCGGTCTAAGGCCCCTCAGACACTGGGATCGTGTGTTCGAATCCCACTCGATGCATGGATATGTGTGCGTTTATTCTGTTTGTGCTGTACTGTGTGCAGGTAGCGGCCATGTGACGGGCTGATCCCCCGTCAAAAGAGTCCTACTGACTGTCTTAAAAGATCAAAAATCTGAGAAGCGGCCAAGGTCCAGCAAAGGGCTGTAGGGGCATAGATACATTGAGAGGTATCCCTGAGTTGCATTAAGCACAACAAGATAACGAAGTGCAGTGGAGTGCAGAGAGTTCCGCCATTGTTAACCTCGGCACTGGGTGAAGAGTGGTCAGCTACATGCCCGGCAACTTTACCCACGGGAAACTGCCCCGTTACTCACTGTATGAGGCTGGGTGGGTCCCAGAGCCGGTTTGGACGATACCGAGAAGAGAAAATCTCTTGCCCCTACCGGGGCTTCCGCTGTCGTCCAGCCCGTAGCCAAGTCACTATACACAGTGAGCTTTCCCGGCTCCCTTAGGAATAATAATAAACTGAACTTAGCCATCCGCCTACCGTTAGGTCGCTACTCGGGGATAGTTCGGGCCGAGCCGGGCCAGGCGACAAAAACATCCGGGCTTACACAGCAACGTCATGTAGAAACTGGCCTCCTCCTACACAGACCAGCGCAGAGCTCTTCTCGTGGGTAACGGACACCAAGCCAATTGAGCTGAGTCCTCCACAAGAAGCTAACAGTTTCTCAGCCACTCAATAAATCACCACCATTTCATGCAACAGGAAGGTTCACCACCGTTTCCACAACAGCACGCCACTGGTCCCTACCTTCAGCCACATGAATGCACTCCACATCGCATTCCTGCAAGATCCATTGTAATATTATTCTCCCACCTATAGTAAATAGTTACCGAACCTTTGTATGCATGCGTGCCACAAGCCCTGCCCACCTCGTCTTCCTTGATTTGGTCATTCTAATATCTGGAGATCAGAAATTATGAAGGTCCTAATCATGTAATTTTCTCCGTCCTCCTGTCACTTCACACTGACACAAAACAGGCAAAGTTACGGCTTTGTATATTTTTAATCTCTGCGTATTTAGACAGGAGATTCTGAACAAATGGAAGAATTCTCTGAATTTGATCGGCTCTTAACTTCTTAATGATTTGTGGGTTTTGTTTGCAAGTGTTTGAACGCCGCCACACTTCCAAACCCTCCAGTCTCCCATTGCTGGTCACGCCCTGTGAAGGCTTCTTCGGTCTTAGCACTTGCCCGAGCACTGCTTTACTTTTGCGAGCTTCATGCAGTAAAGCCTGCAAATCGGTGGGTTAGCACTGCAATAATTCGTTTTCCTCCTCTGTGATTATACGCTGTTTTGGGCCCCCAGGGTAAGCTTCTCAAAATAAATATGCCTGATACAATTATTTGTAATCACCGTGTGTTTCGAGTGCAATGGATCGCCCTGTGGTGACGGAAATGGGGCAGATGAATGGACACGGTCCACTGGGCGCTCTGACATTGTCCGACCTCCACGGGACGGTCGTGAAGCGGACACGCTGCTTGTACACAAAACAAAACTATTTCCTTTGCTTTCGTGCGTTGTCAGTAGGTGCAGACTGACCTGCGCGTGCTAACGCTTCAACCGTTCAAAGCCCAGTGGTCACTTCATGTACATGTCTGTCCTTCTTGACAAGCTGACACTCAGTTTGTCAAGATCTTCAGCCTGTTGTGTAACCCAAGGCACATTAGCCGGCCCACAACAGCCCTCCACTGACCCCTCTCCTGCGCCACATCAATCCGCTTCACATCCTCCAACATTATTTCCTTTGGAACAATTTTAATATTATCCTCTCAACTATGCCTAAATATTCCAGCAGGTTTGTTCCATTCGGGTTACTGCACCAAAATTTTGTTCGCATTTCTGAACCCTTCCAAAGACGGTGCGGCCCCGCGGATCTCGCCTGCACTGTACAGGATAGCAGAGTGGGGCAGCATAATGCAAGGTCAGACTTCACGGAAAAGGGGCCAGGAACACCGCACTGCTACGCCCCTCCCATGAGCATGGGCACGGCGAAGCTGATGTGCACACACGACAGTGAGAATGTGGCAGTCACAGGCATTCCAGACAAATTCCGTGCCAGTAAAGTCCATCCACTCTACGAACCAGGGTTACGTCATATGTTCCACAGGAAAGTCATGTGTACACATATTTGAATTTCCCACCGGCGGTGTGAACACCAGAAGTACATGGAAAACAGACTTCAGCAACTTTCTAACGATGACGTAACGGTTTACGTCACTGACTTGCGATGACGCACCCACGTCCCCTGAGTACACGCAGTTTACTTTGGAACAGGCTATAATGGCGCCCCTTCGCGTTCATTTCCCATTCAACATTCATTAATCACTTTACAATTCAACAATATATTGATACTACTGATAGTCACCGTTGTGAGAACCTCAAACTGAACGAAGTTATATAATCTCGGCTATTTGACAGCGTCATTAAATAAACAATACATAGATAGATCTACCCATTCTTGCATTTCTGTTACTATTTCTTACAGAAATTACGCTTCGCTGAAATTGTAAAATGAGGGAACAGGTCTAACGTAACATTTCTAGGGGTTAGTAACCCCCAGGGAATTGCAAAACCATCCCCTCGTGATACTAATTCAGTCCCGACATCCACGTAAACTAACATTTTGCCATTCGGATGAGTGTGGGTGGATTTCGTATTTCGTTTTGGCAGTCCGACTGGTTAAAGACTGTGATAATTTGGCCAACTTTCGACAACGTCGCCATTAGCCTCACGTGTGTGATGACACAATGCATCTCGTGCGAGATCGGACTCCACAGGAATCAATACCCTACCTCTGCTACAGCAGACAGGTCCAGACCATATGTTTACAGGTTATAAACAGTCCACAATGCAACAACTAACTTCATAACCTAACTGATACTGAATTTCGTTGACACCACCACATCTAAGTTTACAACACCTTCACTGCTGTAGCCCCCACATCCAGTAGAGGATTCATACAATCCAACGCAATAACCACACACTGTCGTTTGAACGCGTATGAGAATGAAAGTTACGGTGTACTGGAAACATAACTTTATTTTCACTGGGAATGTGAGGTGTGGGTCATACATACCTGAAACTCGCATTCTACAACTTCCGTATCTTCCAATAATCTCACAGTGCATTTATAACTAACATTAATGTCACTTTTGCTGCCAAACTTTAGCATCGTTGTGTTTATGGAACATTAGATTGGAGAGCTTATCTGCACTTTTTCACAGTTCACAATTTCTCTCTCACGTTAACACGGAAACTGACACAACCTTCCTTCCTCATCTGAATCATGACAGCTAAGCACGCAAACCACGACTCAGCCTCCTCGATAGTCAAACATACATAAACAAGAAACAAACCAACTGTATTGGGAACGTTGGAAATGGACTACGCACCAGTCCAAAAAATAAGCTCATTCTACGATATTCTGTAATGACATCTTACAATGAGCACATAAGGCATACCTTTGGATTTAATCAAGTATATAATTCAAGTTCTCGATACGATATATTTCTTCAAAGTTAATGATAATATGTCATTCTACTGATCCAAACAGAACTTTACACATAGCACCTCAGACTACAATGGCGTCTGATGGAGCTGGCATTGTAAGAGAAATTTACGTTCGCACCTAACCGACTGCCGTTTTCTAGCAGTGGTTGCTTCGTATGTTGCTAGTATATACTGAATATTTTTAAGTTTGTAGGGTTATAAATCTAATATAATCTTAGTTACATGAATGGGGTACTACTTCACAGAAGGTGAAACGTGACGTTAGTGATATTAACAGTAATAAACAAAAAAAGGCTATCCGGAATACATTGTTTGCTGAATTCCTCGTAGCAGCTCATGTATCAACTATAAAGGGGTGCCGAACAGGCGGTTTCAGATTCAAACATGGCAGCGGCGACGAGTGTTGTTGTGTTAGACAGAGGAAACAATACAACATGCACCATCAACTTGCACGGTAAGGCTAGAATTTTCCGACTCTTTCAATACAGGGAAACCAGTAAAATCATTTACCATTAACACATTGTTGTAATATAGTAATTCTAATTTAATATCGAAGCAAACAAATGTTGTAGAGACAGTCATGCCCATCACATGAGGCTCCATGCTCTTATTTTCCAGTAAGTGAACCGATGCTCTGATTTTTTTTATGTTTTGACAATCCTTGGCGAATGATTTGAGTGCAAAAAACAACCCGTCCTTCGTTACAGGTGCAACGGTGGTTTCTTGGCGTGTAAATAATCAAGAACAGTTATTTGTAAGGTAAATATTAACCAGTGTGCATCAACTGATTGCAGTGCCTGACTGGCTGCATGCAGCCTAGTTTTTTATACGTCGGGACCGAGGCTGCCCTTACGACATGCCTGGGATCTGTAGTCTGCATGCTAGCTACGTTTGTGTGAATGGTTGACTCTTAAGTAATACGACTTTTACGCATGGCTCTTATATGCGCGCTTATTCAGCGTGTAATGCTGCATGTTCAGTTGTGGAAAATTACATTGGACTTACGTAATGCTTGCTTACTGGGGGACTGTTATTACATGAAGACAATTTCAAGCATTGCTTGGAGCGTACCCGTGTGCAGTTCCCAGTGCTCTAAGCAAGTCTGGTGTGATAAGTCACAGTAAAAGTAAAGTTGATCCTGTGCATAACTAAGCAACACGCAAGGAAGACTTATGGGATAGTGAAGGTACAGCCACACGCATTCTTAAGGATTGTAGTTTATTTAACATGTTGCTAGTAACTCCGGTTATATAGCTCTGAATTAGTGCTTCATTAATGAATTCTGAATTGAACAAGATGTGGAAGGAATCGGTCGTGGCCTAATTTAAGGTACTATCCCAGCATATCGCTGAAAAGGTTGAAGAAAACCCACGAAAATGATCAGGATATACGGTTCCTCTGCCCAGATTCGAAGCGAGCACCTCGCGAATAAAAATCAGAAGCATTACCGCTTTGACCAGTTTGCTTTGTGACACTAAATGGAGGTGAGTGATCAGCTTTACGCCCCTGGCCGTTTTATCTCCACGGAAGCAGCCCCCATACCCATTGGGTAGGATGCTGGGGCGACGCTATGGAAAATAAAAAATCTCTCCCAGTCGTGCAGTCCCCGTTTTCTTGTAGCTATGGAAACAGTGCAAACGGTACCCCCCCCCAGGCTTATTCAGACACAACGCTGTAAAGGTGCATGCAGAAGCAAAGGTATAAATAACTCCGTGTATTCTTAACTTCGCCACCAGATGAAGGTGTTTTTTTCAGCTTCATGCCCCGGCCGCTTTACCTCCGGGAAAACAGCGAACAGTATGCATTGGATGTGTGGTTATGTGGGCCCCCAGTGACAGATCTGTTGCCTCTTCTGTGAATCGAACCTCGATTTCCCGGTCGCCCAGTCCCCAGCCAAGTCGCTATGGTTACTGAGCTACGCCGGTACTACAGTGTTTGTAAGGAATTTAATTCCGCGCGCAAGGCGTCTTCCGCACCCCCCCGCCCTTCTGAGCTCATGAACCGCGCCGTCAGACCAGCGCATAAGATCACGTTTCCGAGACCGCCCTGTCACTCTGGCTTCAACAGCTGACACTTGCTCATCCGTTTGGGCGCCGGACGTGGGGGGAAGGGGGAAGCGACAAGCCAGGCATTTGTCCCTCTCCAGATTTTTAGAAAAAAAAAGTCAAATTTGAAGAACGAACGAAAAAATGGATCGTAGAGAAATAGGCTGGTGAGTTATGGACTGGATTCATCTGGCTCAAGATAGGCACCAATGGCGAGTTCTTTTGAACACGGTCATGAATCTTCGGGTTACACAAAACGGGAAATTCTTGAGTAGATGAGCGACTGGTGGCTTTGCAGGAAGGACTCGACTCCATGGAGTTAGTATACAAAATACATCAGGCCCTGAATGAGAATAGTTATCTGCCAAGTTCACTATGCATCTGAGTAGCCAACTTGGCCTGATTTACCCAGCACATGTAATGGTTTCCTTTGATACGACACGGACCGCCTAGAAAACGAAAAATATATGGGGGGATACACAACAAAGCGATGTCATAAGCCTCCTTTTGTTGTTTCAAAATAAGGAACGTAGGCAGAGAAGTCGCCCCTGTGGTTAAATGATTAGTAACCACGTCATGACGGCGTGTGGGGGAGTGGAGATATAGCTCCACCGTTCTTGACCTCTGAACTGGATGGAGATGTGTGGTCACCTTCACGCCTCGCCAGCTTTACTCCTGGAGAAAGAGTACTCCCGATATCCACTGGATACGAGGCTGGCTGTACCCCAGAACCGGTCTGGACAACATGGAAATAAGAAGACTTTTGCCCTTACCGGGACTCGAACTGCGACCCCTCGGCCTCCAGCCCGTAGCCAGTCGCTATACCGACTGAACTGTTAAAGTAATCGCCGTACAGTTCCACGTGTATGTAGAGCAGAGCCTCGCAGGGATTCCTTAGAAACCCGTTCCTCTGGAAGACACGCGTTTGGCTGCGTCCCGTGACAAGGAGATGAGGGCCACAGCGGATACCTCAACCGCTGCAACAGTCAGAAATAAAATGGAACGGGAGGCGGCGGTACTCCGTCCGTTTCCGCTCCCCATTCTCGCCCACACACATCCACGCGCAAATTCATGGGGTTCTGAGACGTCGAGGCTCCCACATTTTCTAGACAACCGGCTCACAGATGGCGGTGAGGTCAGCCTTACACGCGCTGGCCGCCCTTTACTCACAGAAAGTTTCCTGGTACTCATTTCTATTATGGGCCGAGTCGACCCCAGGGCTGGAAGGATTAGGTCAATTGAAAACTCCAATGACGTCATCGGGAATCGAACCGGCGACCTTTCGGCTCGTAGCATAGTGCCTCAATCAACTACGCAACCGCCCCCCCCCAGTAGTTTCAGTACAGTTCGTTCTATCTAAATGGGGCCAACAAAATTATCTTATATTTTTTGTTAAATTATGATTACGTCCCATGTCTTTCAAGATAAATTTTAATGTTATCCTTACGTCTCCCTGACATCAGTGTATACTGGCGAAACGTCCATCTGACCCGCCTTGTTTCTTATAAACGGGCCGTTAGAGAGAAAGCTATTTCTTCCTGTTTGAGAGAGAATCCCGGAAAACTGTTACTTCTGCCGATGCTTGCGTCGGTTAGAGCCCAAGCCATTTCGTTTCCTCCATAAGAAAAGCAGTGGGACCGTGGCGTCACTGTGCACGTAACTTTCTTATGTTTTGTGGTAACCATGGGAACGAGACGCGTTGCACACAGGATTATGCTGTACCACTCACACTCTCATGGAGCTGAGCCCTTCTTGAGAAACCGCCAGTTGTGCAGCTACTCAAGAACATCCCAGAATTTCATGGAACCCGAAGGTTCAGTGCCGTTTCACAAGAGTCCTCCACTGGTCCTTATCCTGAGCCAGATCAATTCAATCCACACCCAATTTCTTTCAGATCCATTTTCATACTGTCATCTGATCTACGTCTGGGTCGTCCTACTGGCTTTCCCCACGAGAACTGCATGCGTGCTAAATGTTCTGCCCATCTCATCCTTCTCGATTTGAACAATGATAGTGGATTCTTTCCTGAAAGTAAGAGCCCTACTGACACGCTGCAGTGCGGTACCCAAAGGAAGTCTTCCTCCGAAATATTTGTACCTGCCTGCAAAACTACACGGCGTCACACCACAAAACCCTAATCCTAATACACAAAAAATATACTTTTTCGTGTTGTGTCAGGCGGTGCCTAAGGACATGCCGATTTTCATGACAGTTCGATCGTCTTTCCTCAGTCCTTTGAGGAAAATATTCGGTTAACTTATCCACACAGTTCCTTCCAGCTGACCCTGCGCAGTTCATCGTAATGGTGAACATTCATAACAGCCTTTTAAGCATCGATCATCATTAGGTCTTTTTTATTATTATTATTTTTTATTGCTAGTGGGGTGGGACTAGGTACCTTGTACTGCGGCCACTTCTGGCCAATTGTACCAGCCCCAGATGATAGGTGAGGGTGATTGTGGAGCAATTGGTGGAATGAAGATTGGCAGGGGAAACCGAAGTAATCGGAGAAAACCTGCCCCAGCGCCACTTTGTCCACCACAAATCCCACTTGACCAGACCCCGGGATCGAACCCGGGCCGCCGCGGTGGGAAGCCAGCGACTAACCGCTTGAGCTATGGCGCGCGGCCAAGTTCATCAATGCAGACTCTGTTTTATTTTTATTAGGCAACGGGATAGACTGCCGAGGAATCTGGGTTCAATTCCTGACAGGAGTAAGAGATATTTCTCTTCCCCACAACTCGCCCCCCCCAACCTCCAATTCAATGGATACCAGGGATTCTTCCCCGGGGTGAAGTGGTAGGGGCAAGATGATCACGACTCCCTCCAGCCATTGCTGCGGTTATGAATATGTGGAACAGTACCTCGCCTCCCCATACGTCTTCATGACGTTCTTAATTAAGCACAGGGACAATTTTGCTGTTTTATCAATCTGCGTACAATTGTTACCGAATAAGACTGAATATTCACAGGTGATTTTTAATGAGCTAACATACGTGTGCATTTACAAACAAGTTAGGAAATGTAAGTACAGAGTAGCAATTCTGTGGCCTCTTCTATCGCGCCGACATTTATGAAACTGGACATGGCTCAGCAATTTCGTGCTTGAACTCCAGTGCTAAGTTTCGTCCAGATCAGGCCGAATGTTTTCAAGTTATGACGCAGTATTAAGATCGTTATCTGTTTCATTCCGAAAACCTCACGACTTAACGGAAGGAGCGAACTGTCCGAAACCAGTCTGCGGTCCGAGAGACGTTTAGCGAGTTAAAGCGTGGGTCTTCACATGAAGTGTCCGGTATTGCCGTTGTCCGATTTTAACACAAGTGGAATTTCCCCTCAGTCTTTAGTGAGAATCTCCCGTGTCAAATTTGAAAACAATCTGCAAGGTTTGGGTGCTGATTCCCTTTCACTGACGGACAGACATGTCCTCCAATGACCCGAAAAGCGTTCGTTTTTATTTTGTGAGTCTCAGCGGTGAGCTTGTCCCTGTATCACGACATGAAGACGTATGGGAGAATGGGTCCACGCCCCGACCGGGTGGGCTTCGGTGCCGGTATGGACTGTTTGGTAAAGAGGAAAAAATTATTGCCTCTACCAGGAATCGAACACCGTTTCTCCGGTCGTCCAACTCGTAGCATAGTCGCCGTGTTGACTGAGCTACCCCGTCCCACTTCGGTGAAGAATGCTCCCGGTTAAGTTACAACAGAGAAGAGTTCTGTCATGTGGGCTGTATCACCATATTTTCGGAGGAACATATCGCCTCCATCTTCAGTATCGAAGTTAAGCCAACCAAGTAGCAGGAAAAGCCAGTAATGGTTTCCGTTTGCACCTCACGAAGGACGGAGATGATGGCTCGGATAACTGTCTGCCGCTTACTTGGCGGACGTTTCAGCTCTGAAGATGGAGGCGATATGTTTCTCCGAAACGTGGGCTCACTTATATCGCGGAAGACGGAACTCTTCACTTCTGTTGCGTATTTTACGGCGCTGTCAGTAGTGAGACAAATGGTAGGATGATTGATGAATGATGATTCAGAAAGGATTTGGAAGGGAGAGGTCGTGGCCTAAACAAGGCACCGTTCCAGTATTCGCCTGGACGGACTGAGGAAAACAACAAAAAGAAAACTTAGGTAGCTGGCGTCAGCCGAGATACGAACTGGTCACCCCCGCAGATATAAGTCAGACATAAGCCGCCAGGTTACAGACCCAGACGTTGTGTTTCAACGGGCCGTGCAGCTGGGGAGAAAACATGTCGCCCGCTGCTGAACCGAGCCCAGCTAGGGGCAAAAAGCGGCCTTCGCTTTGCAGCAGTCGGCTGTTTTTGTGCGCGCGAGTAATGACCCACAGCGCGCCCTGCCCTCCACTCTCAGCACTTGCCGCTTTTCCTCAGGTGCCCCTAGTTTCGAGCTCTTCACACGTTCAGTGCAGAGCAGAGCAGTACAAGATGAGCAGACAAATGTTAGGGATGTTTCTACTGAAGGTTTTGGGGCTCCCAAGTGGCCGTTTTCTAACAGATTCTATTTGCGTCTCCGTCTCCCTGTCCCAGTTACACGTCCAGACCTCAGCCTCCTGTATTCGAACAGTATTACCTGTATAATTCATAATTCCTGGGAGATTAGGAAACTGCAGTAGCTCAGTCACTATAGTGACCAGGCTACCGGCTACAGCATTCAGACAGGCTCTGGGGCACACCCAGCCTCCTATTCACATAATGCGGGGGATAAAGCAGCCGAAGTATGAAGCTGACCGCTCATCCCCGTCCAATGCCGAGGTTAAGAATGCGTGGAGCTGTACCTCCATTCTTCTGTGGGTCTTCATGTTGTGGTGCTTGATTATGCACAGGGACATCTGGTGTGTGAGATTCGAGGTTCTCACAGTGGTAACTATTAAGGTTGTTTCCTGTTGTGTGATACCGTGTTGTCTGGTATATCGTTACGAACTTTTCAGAAGGACCTGCTGCCTCTATCATCAGGGTAGAAGGGTACAGTGGTCAGCTTCAAGCCCCAGCAGCTTTACCCCCGCCCCCTGGCACCCATTGGAGAGGAGGCTGGGTTGAGCACCAGAACCAGTACAGAGAATACTCTCCATATATACTTTTATACATAATATTATGTATGGAGCATAAAAGTTTCGTTTTCTTTAGCTGATGCTAAGCAAGCAGTAAGCTTGCTGTTTGCTTTTTGCCCATTGCTTGTTGAGCGTATGTTTTACCCTGAAGATGGAGGCAGCATGTTTCTCCGAAACATAAGGGAGGTTCTACTGAACTACATACTGCCTTGAGAACCTCAACTCCAACATAGATGCTATAAGTTCTCCAGAAATATTCCTTCTCCTTTCATGTGGTTGAGATACTTGCATCACTTTGCCGAGAGAGTGCAGAGGGAACACTTGTGATATCTTCATTTCTTGTTACAGCAAACAAGCAATATTTGACGGAAAGAAGGCTATCCGCGGCGGCATCCCCTTTGTTTTCCGTAAGTATGTTTACGGTAGAAAAGCAGCATGTCCACGTGTTTGACCATAATGTAGTAACATGCCATAAGATCAGATACCTTTATGTTACAGCCCAGTTTGGACAGTGGAGCTTTGGACCACAAAATGGCTTTGCCCGTATCATACGCTGGAACCTGGAGAAGGCCCCTGAACGACTGCCCAGTGGGGATGTGGAAGCCATCTTTTCTATCATGGACAGCGAGTTCACACGTTCCATGTGGAACTATCCGTAAGTGCAGTCTCAAGTCTCTTGTCCCTCCTTAATGACATATCATCAATTCATCATTGTCATCATCCTTTCCAGTATTGGGCCTGTTGAGACCTGTTATGAATATTACAAAACAGAATCCTGCCTTCATTTTAGGGCTCTTTTTCCTTCTGGTTGATATTTTAAGATCTATTTTTAGAATCCTGTTACAGATCATACTGTCAGTATGACCTTCCAAATTTCTTCTGTATTGAAGAGTAATATCAACTGGGATGTGGTGCCGTGCAGTCCGGTCGCTGCTTGCTGATTACTTGTTTGTCTTACTCTTTGGTCCCGAAGGTGGAAGCAGTACATTCCCCCAAAATATCAATGAGCTGCTACCAGTCTAGAAGGCATCATGTCCCAGAAGACAGTGCTCTTCATACTTAACACTGTGAGAACCTCAGAATCTGGCATAAGTTACCGGATGTTTTCATGCACATTGGCAGACATATTAGCTGCTGCTGCTGTCGCCTCTGTGATATGGTAACAAATTCATGCTGTTGTCAGTTGTAGTTGTGCTTTTCAAATTCTGATGTATAGGAATCATACAAATCCAGTTTTGTACTGAATGTTCTTGCAGACTTGTCTGCAGTATAATTGTTACATATTCTACAATATACCGGACGTCAGATGGCTCACATGTTCCACGTGTTGTAGAAGTTACTCCTTGTCACATGTTAAGTTTTTGTCACGTATGAGATGTGCTTGCAAGTCAACTCTGTTGTTGCAGGTTTCGCCTCACTTACAGGTTGATCTTGCGAGAGAAAGAGCTGCACTTCAACATAGGGGTGTACAACCCTAGCAAGGAGCTGACATTCAGCTTCAACCTGCTGTTGCACACGTACTTCAAGGTGCCTGATGTGCGGCGTTGCCAGATTACTGGCCTGCATGGATGCACATTCATTGATAAGGTGATGCTCTAGTGGTTACTGTTTCGTGACCGAGATTGTTCTGCTCAGTCCCTCCAGGATAGCACCTCAGAATAGTCTGCAGTCACTCACATCATCATAATTCATGGTTTACTGTTATATTTTGTATTGCATCCTGTGTAGTTTACTCTTTGAATCACAAAGGCTTCCTGTAAAATTAAAAATACCTGGAATTTTGCCCATACAGTGTATCTATGTGTTTCCTATGATTCTCACAATAAACAGCAATTGTTTCCCTAATCACCATTAGCCAGCAGGTCTTTGCAAAGGACACAGTATGTTTTCTGTGAGGCATGAACTGAATCTTTTATATAGATGAACTTCACGCTTTGAACAGCTAAGAAAGCACTCTTATGTAAGCAAAGGACAAAGTAACCAGTTAATAAACAGTTTGTAGGTTCTTCACTGCTGCTGTCTTATCCACAGAGTTTGCTTAGTTAACATCAGCTAAATGAGAAGGTGATTATGCAGAAGAGACATGCAAGAAGACCTGTTTCTAGCTGCCATCCTAACATTCATATGTAATGCCTAAAAAAGACCATAAAAAAGCAATGTTAATGTCTGTAAGCAGTAATGTATCAGTAACTATGTGTGTCACAGTCAAGGGAAGGCGCTGTTTTCCAAGAGGGTCGTGATGTGGTGACCATCTCAGAGTGGACTGACCGTATATATCAGAACACTCCTCAGGAACACATCATTACAAATGTTGTGTCTGGCCGCAAGATGAGAATACAGAAGTATAACTTCCCAGACACAGGTGAGTAGTTGTGTGTGAGCCTCGCCACTTCAAGTGCTTATAGGCATGTGTAAGCTGTAAGGCAAATGTGTCCTCATGCTAAACCCTCCACACACTATAAGCCAGTTAGATCGGCCCTGGGTACTCGCGTTAAAACTGCCACAACTGGAGAGCTCAACTCATTGTTAATCAAGTGGTACAGGTTTTCTACCAACAGATGTCATCAAATGTGACATACCATGAACACGACTCTTGTCCACAGTTAAATTAATTATATGCTGTTGTTTCATTATGCCTCATGTTCCAGCCTCATACAAATGTTGCCGCTGGCCTATCATTACCTACATTGGCCAGTGCTTACAAACCTGAGCCTGCGTGAATGATACAATTATAAATTTGAAATAATAATTGTGTTGGTGGAACATCTCATATTTTTCGGGCAAGAAAACACAACATGATACTTTGACAAGATATTTTAATCCTTCCAGCTGCAAGAAGCCCTGGGGTTTACTCAGCCTCTAACAGAAATGAGTACCAGGAATTAATTAAATAGTTTTCCTGGGGAGCAAAGTGCGGCCGGCATGTAAGGCTGACAACCTTACCGCCATCTTTAAGCCAATTGTCTAGATAATGTAGGACCCTCAACGTCTCACAACTCTATGGGCCTCCATGGCCTGGTACAGGGATAGCTTTACTTTTTACTTTTACCTACCAATATTTAGAGGATAGAACAGGCTTTCACAAGTTGTATACCTGTTGTCATTTGAGGGTTTTTCTGTGCAACTACGTTCATCCCCAAGCAGCTGTGGTGTTTCTGGCAGGTAGTTCTTTAGCAGAGTTCAGCACTCAAGGGGTTAATTATGCACCACATCATGCAGGTGTACCAGGAGGTGGAATTATATCTCCTCACATATTACGATTGAAGTAACATTTAGAACTTTCATCGACATCACTAAACTGTGAATTGCTTTCCCCATAATTTTAGAGAAGAAACGTAAGTACATTAGGGCATGATGTGAGAAAGAAACAGAAGATCTGACTTCATATGGGTGATTCTCTGAAGGCCGTGTGATGTCTGATAGTCGATAGTTGGTTAGCTCTGTCAGTCAGTGCATGCTGAGTGCCATATGTGTTGCAGTGACTTCAGCAATCATTAGCCTTACAGCAAAACACTTACTTGTTCCAGTTGTGTGGAACCCATGGGTAGAGAAAGCAAAGGAGATTGCTGACTTTGGTGATGACGAGTTTCCCAACATGGTGTGTGTGGAGTCAGGGCACGTGTCCAGCCCCGTCATCTTGCTGCCAGGCACTGCGTTTGAAGCCAGCCAGATATTACAGGTCAGCCAACTTGTTTGTCTTCGTCCAGACAAACCACTGCCACATGCCCCACACATCCTGCCCATATGTGCATAATTACCTTCATGTTCTTCGTCAGATGTTATTTTCTTATTCCAGGTTGACAGAGAAAGTGTCTCCAATCTCTTCTTTTTTTTTTTTTTATTCTTTTCTTACCAGCTGTTTCCTCTGTTCTTAATGTCTTCCAATACCTGGTTGAACCACTCTCTGCTTTTCCTTCAGATTGTAATTCTAATGCCTATCTCATCTTCCATGTTCTATCGATTCTCTTCACATGTACAAACAACTGTAATCATCCCTCATCTGACTATATATATGAAGTTATTTTAATTCCAGTTTCTTTAGAAACTTAATTTCTAATTCTATGCCTTCTTGTTTTCCCTCAGAAATTTAATATCCATTGGTTTGATTTTGTCTTTGTTTCTCTTTGTAATGATCCATGTTTCAGCATTACATATCTGTTTAAAATATGTCTCATGGATCCCTGTTGTGCACCATGTTGGGATCTCTCTGTTACGTTGTATTCCTTTTATAATTATAAAAATTCAGAACCATTTTGTATTCTGCTGATCCCACCAGTAAATTTCCCTTCTGGATTTCTTTCCCATCCCAAATAAGTAAACAAATGTGTCCACCTGTTGAACCACTGTTCTCCACCCCAGTTGTTCCCCTACAACCAGAGATGCTGTTCCTAGACACATTTGCGAGCTGCCAGTGTGCGTGGCAGTGGTGCCAAGCTGCATATAGTGCTCATGTGTTTATATGGCATGTTGCAGGTGATGTGAGTGGAGGGCGGGGCTGCAGGGGGCCCAGGGGGTCGGAGAGGGGCTGCTGGCCGCTTGTCACAGCTCCAACCGCAGCAGCCACAGCCGCAGCCACAGCAGCTAGTGAACCCCTCTCCTTCCACCTCATCTGCTGGGGGGGACAATCTGTTGACGTCTCCCTCCCCCGTGTGGCCCCCCGCCCCGTGGCTTGCTCTAAACAATGTGTACGTGGGTGAGATGCTGCACCATCGCCTCCTGATGGAGCAGCGCAGCAAGGGAACGGGACAACAGCCACCTGAACAACACCATCATCCGCACCAGTGCGCCCCTCAGACCTCCTGCAGCATCTGCTCCCTGAACCTGTAGCGCAAGGGAGACACGTGGCTTGTACGGACACTGGATTCAAATTTGGTTCCCTTCTTCAGTATAAACCCTGTTTCCAAAATTTTTTGTATGTTATTTATTTTCTATTTATATTTCGCATAATGACCCCCATTGCTGGCAGTATTGTTTGGCATGGGAAGTGTCCGTACAGTGCCACAGCATGGTAACTCGGACAGCGATACACAGCTCCACGAGCAGTTCTCATAGACTACAGTTTCTAAGGAGTGCAGATTGACTGTTATGAGCACTATGTTGCGAGGTTTGTATCACTGTCCATCATGTTGGCTCTTCTATCTTACTCTAATTTTATGATAGTAATACATAGTTGATAATTATAACAATGATATTAATGATGATTGATGATATAGCGTTTTCTATTAAAGTACAGATTAGCTAGGAGTTGACTTGTGCGCCCACAGAACATTGTAATGTTACCCACAATGCAAGTTGGTACTCATGCTGCAACAACATTCCAGCGTGTTGGCAACATTCCCAGTCTTGTGGACCACTTTTATGGAAGCATAACTTTTGTGTATCTAGATGTTTAAGTACCGCTAATGAAACTTTGTGATGAATATTTTTGGTGCATTCCCAACAAAGAGTTGTGAAAGTGCACGTATTGGCTTTGCTGTGTCTTGTTTGTCCGTCTGTACATAACGTGAGGATCATTCAATGAATGGGTTTTTGTCAGGTCTGAGGTTCTCACAGCAGTGAATTTGAACATTATTATCTTCTAGGGTATGAAGTCATGTAGTTCTTTAGGTAGGTACCAGTGTTTCAGAGGAGCCCAGTGCTTCCATCTTCAGGGTACAAAATTTTCATGTAATTTAATATTGGGAGTTGTACTTGAATTTGTTTACATATTTTAATTTTGGTTCAAATTTGCCTAATAAAGAAGACTACATCCATTTTTGTACACAGCTTGAGGCCCAATATTCTTTGTGATGTCTCTGACAGACCCCTTCTGTGGTCTAGTGGTCAGAGTTCTTGGCTACAGATCCAGAGGTCTGGGTTCGATTCCCAGGACTACCAGATTTTTTGAAAAGTAGTGGGCCTGGAAAGGGGTCCACTCAGCCTCGTGAGGATAATTGAAGAGCTACTTGAATGGAAAAATAGCAGCTCTGGTCAAGAAAACCAAAATGAACGGCTGTGGGGATTCGTTACACTGACCACATGACACCCTCTGTCCGTAAATTTGGCACTAACTTCGCCGACAAGCGGCTGCTGTTCAGTCAGTATAGTTCACTTGCCGACTAGAACCACAGACTTTTTTTTTTGTCCTGGACATTATGGTTTAGAGAAAAACTAGAAACCATACACTCCCTCCAAAGTATGTGTCTTGAGCTTACTTCTCAACAATTCAGAAATATTTAAAATTTGATAAAATTTGTAGATTCAGAAGAACACATCATATGCTATTTCCACACATTCACATACACAATAACAAATGCAGTAAACCCTTGCTAATCCAGGTTAACTGAGGGAAGAGGTCATCCAGATCAATGAAGCAAACTGTAGCCTCAAAATACAAAGAAACTTAGAACACAAAGGAATGGAAAATATAATGATGTAGTGCTGATGAAAATACATTTTAAGAACTGTAAAAAAACAGTACATTTATTCATCAATAAAAGACTCAGAAGTTGTACTTGTTTTTGAAAATAATAATGCAAGTTCGAAGAAACTGTCAAGTTTTGTCTGAACAGACAAGTGACTCATCTGCCTTCTTAAATGCCATGTGTCTTTTAAAGCATGTACTCAACTGTGAACAGCTATTTCAATCTGGATTAACTGTAATCAGATTAGCAAGGGTTTTCTGTATCTATGATCAACAACTCACAGTGATGCTCTGATGAAATTAATGCCTTTTGCTTCCTACAGCCATTTTAAGTAAGTCTGTGCAAAAGTTGAGATCTTTAACCACTTAAAGCACAGTCATTCATATATTCACCACCTATATTAACATTAAAAACTATGTGTTTTGTCAATATAGTGTATTTGTTTAATATATTTCCTTAAATAGTGTTAACTGGTCTCTCTGTTATTCAGAACAAATTCATGCTTTGTAATGGAGACACAGTGTGTTTCCTGTGAAGTATACAGTTAGTCTTTAAATATCATTTAGTGTGATTCATGATTTTAATGATCAAATCAGTTTAAATGCAGGATTAACAAACTACTATAATCCACAGCTCCTTATTTGATTTCTTATATTTATTTGCTAGCAGCACATGTAGCCAGCTTGCATTGTTGGCAGCTTGTCCTGACCTCATATTTCATCTGTTCTGGCACTGCCTTACACATGTATACGAACATTATCGAGTTGCCTGCCCTGGGAGGAAATGATAGCAGTTTGGACTACTTCTTGAATGTTCAAGTTTCACAGTAAATTTATGTTATGACAGAAAGTTGCTCTTCACAGTATATACGTAGATTTATTCCGGTTAATGTTGCACAGTGTTCACTGCAAATGGAGAAGGTGAAGCAACTGAGCTAACTACTGTGAAGTCAGTAATGTAGTTCCACTCAGTTCTCCATGAACATTACATGTCACATGCATCCCAAAAGTAGAGGCTCCGGTCTAGAAAACCGAGATTAACGACCATGGGGAACCATTGCACTGACCGCGTTGACATCCTCTATCCTCAAAATTTGGCACTAACTTCGCTGACAAGCGGCTGTCGGTCGGTATATTTTGCTTGCGGACTAAAGCCACCGAGTAGTAGCCACAGTGCATTTACATGCAACTCCCTTCTTGGAAACAGTAATGTAAGCCACGGCTGTCCAAGCACACGTTGCTGTTGTGCTATATTTCATCTCAAGTACCTAACCACCATAAAGTAAAGTTCATACTTTTTCCCAGTGTACTGATCCAAATAACGTCCCAGCAATTCTCTGATCTATGAAACAGAAGCCCAGAAATAATAATTGGACCCGTAGGGTTCAAGCACATTCATTTAAATTTAATACATTGTAATGTTAGTTATCAGAATTAGAAAACTCATAGTTTGCTTCTTACAAAACGGAGAACACCTGCTTAGAACCGTTTTCACCGTGAGGTCTGCAGACAAGCAATCCCCTATACAGGAGAGGACATATACCTGAGCAGCAGAAAGTCATGATAGGCAGAAAGGAGATTCATCCATTAGAGAACAAATAGCGATATGATTCTGTAAATTTGGTGAAATGTAGCTTGGACACTTCCTTCAGACAGTGACATTTCTTAATGTGGATATGACAGAAGAGCGTAACCCACTATTTTGCTAATACTCAATGTCACACCGTGTTGCTACCAGGTTTATGGAAAAGATGCCACCGTGTCCACAATAACCAGCACTGGGGACTGAACTCTGGCACTCCGTCCTTTCGAACTGTCATCTCTGCATTACACACTTTCACTGTGTGAATGGAACATCTGGTGTTCATTTGTTTATTTTCTTCACTCCATAAACTATTGAAGCCACACACCATGAAATGAACCATAGGGTTGTTATGAAGTGTGAATGGGGCTGAATGTGTAAGTGCTCTCACAGCACCATGAAACATAACTTGACGTTTATCCCAGACAGGCAACCTCAACAGAATAATGTTTTGTGTGTTGTTGGTAACATTGTATGTACATTAGTATTCATTGTGGCGGCTCTAAGTATTCTTCCTATCATGTAATTTATTTGAACTCCATGTTGTATCATGTTACATTGTTACAATGGCTCTGTGCCACATTTGCTTCCGCACTATATTGCTCGCTGTAAATATCTTCATGCCTGCTATAAAGGACATAGGCTTCCTGAGCTGCAGGCATTTGTTTTTGCATGTTGTTCTGCCTGTAGTTTAGTATAAAATTATGTTTTCCATGTTTGGTTTTCAGTTTGAACGGCACTAGCCATATATTTTCCATCTGTCTAACAGTCATCATTTAACCCTATGAACAGGATCACTTCCATTCCCGTTTCCAACAGTTCACGTGTCCGCCTGCTGTCAGGGAATTTCCAGAGCTATATAGCATTATTACAGGTGACTGTGAATGTCAGTATTTTTCATCAGGATAACTGTAGATGTTGTGACTAGGTAATTTGCTGGGCATCTGGGGAATTCATTCATGGCAGGAGCAAGAGTCTCTCTCTTCACAGTGTCCAGACTGGCTTTCTGGCCCACCTGGCCTCATATTGAATGGGCACTGGGGGCTCATTCCCAAGACATGAAACTGACTGCTCACCTCGGCCTAACACTGAGAATGTATGGAGCTATACCTCCACTCCTCCATAAACACTCATAGCGCACTGCTTAATTAAGCCTGGGGACAACTTCACTTCTGTCTTACCTTTTTTAGCAGAGACATGTCTGTCAGTGGACACTTAAGTTTATATGATCCATGTGGCAAAGATGGAGTTAATTACAAATGGATGCCCATCCTTTCTGGCACATCATCAATAAATAAACTGTTCTTTCTCTTACTTTAACAAAGAAAATATTGTACTCTGTGATCTTTTAATATTTATCCTGATATTGCCATAAATTGTTATGTACAAGGATTCTCAAGATACCAGACTCCACAAAGTGATTAATGAATTTTATAAAAACAATGTTTATTAAAATTGAAGAAAGCAGTCTTCTGGGATTTGGCACTGTGTATATGTGGTGTTAACCGACGTTTCGGAGGAATGTATCGCCTCCATCTTCAGGGTAGAAGGAAAAATATAAGAAATCCGCAGGCGAAGAGACCGTGAGAACCCTGAAGATGGAGCCGATACGCTCCTCTGAAACGTCAGATAACACCACACATACACGGTGCCAAATCCCAGAAGACTGCTTTCTTCATAATCACCGCCATGAAAACCTCAAATCTTACATATATTAGAATTGTTTAAGCTTCATGATTATTATTATTATTATTATGGTTCACTTTATGACGCTGTCAGTATCTAGACTATATAGTGCCGAATGGTAGGATGATTGGTGAATGATGATTTCAAGGGGACTTGGAACAGTGTAGTTGTAGCCTAATTGAGGTACTATCCCAGCATTTGGCTGAAGGGAGGAAACCAATGAAAAAGTTGTAGGGGTAGCTGGTGTTCCAGCTGATATCAAACCAAGCAGCTCCCTGACCCAAGTCCAGAGCATAATTGCTGAACCAACATTCTCAACTTTAAGCTTGACAAATAGCCAGCCATTTAATTCAGAGTATAATCACGAAAACCTTCCTCTTTCAAAAACATAAGTAAATAATCTCATATGAGACTGACCCATTCGTTTTCTATGACCCTATAGAAGTCCACTATTAGAAATCAAATGCTGGCAAGTCCTGAATATAGAAGTTTCCTAGGAGATTTCATATAAACATACCAGAGTTTGCCAACATTGTCTGAGTTGCAGTTCTGACAACACATCCAGTGTTACGCTTATGGGACTGATGGGGCTAGCGTGTGCACATGGTACAAGCTCATAATGGGGATTTCAGGTGTTGAAACTTTAAATTGCATCATTCTATAAAATAAAATTTGGAAGTAATAAAGAGTACTGCAGTCGCGGGTATGATGCCATGTTTGGAAGAAGTCCTACTGATGTTCCTTGGAAATATGTGTAAGCCTGTACAGACCACACAGCATCACTTTTCATAGTCACTGCTGTAAGAACCTCGGATACAATCTAAACTCATAGTTTGAAAGCCATAAATAGGTCTAGTAAATATTTTTGAAAATGAAATATATTTTAGACAAATGTCTGTTGAAAGATAGATTTTATGTTTGGTATACTTTCCATGGTTATGACGGTTTAAAAAATGCATACAGTGTACCTTTGACCACATGACATAAAATAATAATACAATGACCCACAATCTGGGAACAGAATAAATTATGAATTCTTAATTACTGTTGCAATATCTGGCATTACTTGGTGACCTATTGTCATAAGATAATTACTGACTCATTTTCACGTAAGATAAGCAGACAATTTCATATTCTCATTTCCAACACTGCATTTAGGACGTTTTTTAATTCAATATAAGATTGCTACAGCTGGCTAAAGCACCTGTT